GGTCAGTGCTGAGGGAGCGCGGCACTGTCGGAGGGTCAGTGCTGAGGGAGCGCGGCACTGTCGGAGGGTCAGTGCTGAGGGAGCGCGGCACTGTCGGAGGGTCAGTGCTGAGGGAGCGCGGCACTGTCGGACGGTCAGTGCTGAGGGAGCGCGGCACTGTTGGAGGGTCAGTGCTGAGGGGAGGTATAAATGGCATTGTTTTTTAAGACAGGCTCCTGTATAATATGGTGAAAATCTGAAAAATGTTCTGGTGAAAAAGGAGGCCATTCAGACCACCCTGTTCATTCCAGCTCTTCATACAACAGGATCAGGCCTTTCAGCCGATTGAATCTGTCCCACCTTCTGTACAATCTTGGCTGTATGAACATTTCAATGCCTTCTGTGCAAAGTAACAAGTTGTCCAGTATGAACACAACTGGGGAGGAAATGTCTTCTCTTAGAGGACAGTGAATCTGTGGAATTCTTTTCCACAGAGGGTTATTGAGGCTGGGTCATCAAGTACATTCAAGGCTGAGACAGACATTTTTAATCAGTAAGGGAATGAAGGGTTACGAGGAAAAGATAGGAGAGTGGTGTTGAGGATTATCAGTTCAGCCAGGAATGGTGCAGCAGGTTTGTTGGACAGAATTGCCCACTTCTTCTCCAATCAAAAACCTCTAATAAATTTGTCAAACATGATTTCCCATTCCAAATTCAATGCTGACTATGACCAATCAGATCATTATAAATCAGGTATCCATACGGCCCATCCTTTAGAATAGATGCTCACATTTTCCTTACTCCTGATGGAAGATTAACAGGTTGGTAGTTTCCAGTTCTCTCTCTCTCTCTTGCCCCCTTCTGAAATAGTGGATGACATTTACAAACTTCCAATCCACATTAATCATTCCCGATTCTGCAGAACATTGGAAGGTAATCACCAAAACATGGACTATCCTATCGTCATCACCTTCAGTATTTTGGGATGTAGACCATCAGGTCTGGCTACATGTGACTCCGGATCCACAACAATATGGCTCTAGGCAATTGGGAAGGGCAATAAATGCTGGTCTTGCCTGTGACCCTACATTGCATAAACAACTAAAATAAACTGTCATGTGCCAGGTCCCAAGGATTTGTCAACTTTCAGGCACATTAATTTCTCCAGTACAACCTCCTAACTAACCCTAAATTTCTTCAACTCACTAAGAAAGAAAATCTCATAATGCCACAAAAACAAAATTGCTGGAGAAGCTCAGCAGGCCTGGCAGCATCCGTGAAGAAAGAAACAGAGTTAATGTTTCGACTCCGGTGACCCTGCCTCAGAACTGAACTCATAATGCGGACCATGAGTGGGTGAGAATGGGCTGGCTGTGCTGAAAGGAGCCTGTGTAATGACAGGGCCTGGGCCGTGGGGCCGGGTAAAGGCCCTGGAAGGAGGTGTTCAAGCTCTAAAATGATTGAACAGAATATGGAGTCCTGAAGGTGAAATGAGGTGCTGTTCTTGTAGCTTGCATTGAGCTTCGCTGAAACATTGCAGCAGGCCCAAGACAGAGATATTGGCCAGCGAACACGGTAGTGTGTTGAAGGTTGGGGTCATTTTTATGCACAGACATTAAGCGTTGGTGATGTACAGCTGTTCTTGCTGTATCCTGAGATCCACCTTAATGTCATGTGCTGCCATGTGCACACACTGAAACTCCCCCCAGGCCCCATTCCACTTCATTTTCCTAATCTTTCCATGTCTTAACAATAAACTTTTTCTTTTCCTTTCAGGCATTAAGGAACACAAGCTGCAACAACTCAGAGATACCCACACCCCTCCTGAACCTTCTTCCTCTCCCCTTCTCTCTGTCTCCATCTCCTCTCCTAAACCCCCATCTTGTCCAATATTTACTAGCCCTTCTGCCCTCTGGATGCTGAACACTCTGTACTCAGTAAAGGGCTCGGTTTTATCACCGTCTCCACCTCAATGAGTTTCTGCCATGACATGACATTGAACTCATTTTCCGTCACCTTCACCACCGTGCCCATTTCTTCAGACAAGAGTCCTCTCCCCATCTGACAGACACTTTCACCCACCTCCCACACTCCCTCCAGCTGGAACCCTCCCTCTGGCCTTTTACCTGCAATCGACTTGTTCATCGAGAACTATCAACATGACACTTTCAATTTCTCTGCCTTCACCACCACCTCCATCCACCTGCACCCCCAGGCCCCCAGTCCAACCTATCTCCCAGTGAACTGACTGCACTCTGTGCTTTCAGATCCAACTCTGACTTTGTTATCAAGCCTACAAAAACAGTGGATGCTGTTGTTGTCTGGTGTACTGACCTCTACAGACACTGGACAACAGCTCTCAAATACCTCCTCCGGACCATGGCCCCACCATTGAACACCAGACCATTGTGTCCACTACAGTCACTAATTCCATTTCATCCGGTGATCTGCCCTCCACTGCTTCCAAGCACATAGCTCCCTGAACCCCACACAACCTGCTTTGATCTCTACCTTCCACTTCCGCCGCCACCACCCTGCTCTGCCTGGACAAGCTTGTACTCACTCTGAACAACTTCTCTTTTAAATCCTCTCACTTGAAAGTCAAAGGGGTGGTCGTGGGTACCCAATTTGGCCCCAGTTATGCCTGTCCCTTTGTGGGGTTCTTGGGAACTTCTACTCTCACCCCTTCTCTTCCCACCCAGAACACTGATAGGATCCCCCGTCTTCACTCTCCACATCCAGAGGATCGTTAATCACCATTAATGCCTCCTCCAATGAGATACTACCACCAGAGACATAATGCCTTACCCTTCCTTGTCAGCCTTGCACAGGGATCGTTCCCTCTGGGACACTCTGGTGTACTCCTCCTTCACTCCCAACGACTTCCCACAATCTCATGGCACCTTCCTCTGCAACCGCAGAAGGTGTAACACCTGCTCATCAACTTCCTACCACCTCCCTCCTCAGTATCCAAAGGCCCAAACACCTGCTTCACCTGCACTTCCCACAATCTAGTCTATTGCATTCGCTGCTCACAATGTGGTCTCCTCTACATTAGTCCGAATGTTCCCCAACCAGAAACCATGGATGAACCGGAAGAACTGTAATCAGCACTTATTGTACACTCATGGCTGTGTGACCAAATGCAGCTCCATTTACAAATTTGCTTAAGAGACCAGTCTTGTAGTTTGAATCTTAAACAACGATGAGACGGAGTTCAGGAAGGAGATAGCCAGCTTAGCAGCATGGTGTAAGGACAACAATCTCTCCCTCAACATCAGTAAAATGAAGGAGCTGGACATTGACTTCAGGAAGCCAAGTGGAGGTCAGACCCCAGTCTGTATCAGTGGTGCTGAGGTAGAGGTGGTCGAGAGCTTCAAGTTCCTGGGAGTGATGATCACCAACAATCTGTTCTGGTACATCAACGTCAATGCTGCACTCAAGAAAGCATACCAACACCTCTACTTCCTCAGAAGGCCAAAGAAGTTCAGCATGTCCACAATAACTCTTACCAATTTTTATATCTGTGCCATAGAAAACATTCTATCCAGATGCATCACAGCATGGTATGGCAACTGCTTTGCCCAAGACCGCAGGAAATTACAGAGAGTTGTAAACACAGCCCAGTCCGTCACTTAAACCAGCCTTCTTTCCATTGACTCAGGAAAGCAGCCAACATCATTAAAGACCACTACCACCCGTGTGATACTCTTTTCCATCCTCTTCAATCAGACAGAAGAATAAAAGTTTGAAAACACATACCAATAGATTGATTGATTTTATTGTCACATGTACCGAAATACAGTGAAAAGCTTTGTTTATGAGTGGTACAGGTAGATCACAGCAAGCAAAGGATGTACAGAACAAAAAGACTGAGGCATACAAGTTACATTATTTGAGGCTATTGCATCCCAGTAATGATCTCCTACAGCCTCTTCCATCAGGCATAAGATACAGAAGCCTGAACACACACACACTAGCAGGTTCAGGAACAGCTTCTTTCCAGCCATTATCAGACTGTTGAA